GATTTCAGAAAAAAATAAATTTAAAGAAAATCGTACTTCTGCTGCTCCCGAAGAATTGAATAATGAAATTTGTAATGATGTTAATGAAACGGACAATAATTTAAAGAAAAACGATACATTAGAAACTTCAAACGAATTAAAAGATGACACATAATTTTATAATATAAAATGAAGTTCTTTTAATTTCCTTTGAGATATCAATTTCAATACGTTGCAAGAATAAGTAAAAAATTTTCATTTGACTTAAAATTTAATAAAGATACCCTTGACAAGACGGATATTATTTAATACATGTATATCTTGTAGAAATGAAATAAAACATTTTTATAGGATAAAAAAGCAACTATTATTAATTAATGGGAAATTTGTCGTTTTACTAATTGTTTTCTATGAAATAATTTATGAAATTACATGTATTTTTATAGTTTGAGCGACAAATACTTTTTTACTTTTTTTATTATTATTATTTTCGGCCACTCAAAATATTTCACTGATTATAGTACAAATATTGTTATAAATATGGCCGGATATAGAGGAATCATTAATTCTGAAATGGCTATTGCCATAGTATTCAACAATATATTATTAAATCGTATTGAACGTTTTGCGTCTACTGTATATTAAAGTTGGAAAAGATGAATATCTATTGTACGTCTTGTTGATATTCGCTTTAAATTACATTATGCGTTAGATTTTCATTCTCAAATTTAGTTGATAACAAGATTATTAGATTCTAGATTAAGAGGATTCAAAATTTGTTTAACATAGAGATTTCTACTAATAAAGGACGGGTTTTTCTATAAAAAACATTTAAATATAAGTATAAATATGAAAAATGTTGGGTAGCCCATAACATACAGATAAACTATAAAAAAAAAAACAAAAGAAAAATCTTCTCTAAAATTTTTTAAACTCCGAAAGACTCGAAGTTGATGGTTGACGCTAGTAATCTCTATTAGTTGGTGTGGTTATTTTCCCACTGAGGTTCTGAGAATTTGATGGAGATTTTGAACCTATAAATGAATATTGCATTCACTGATACATCATATATATATTTAATAAATACTTGATAAATAATATTAAATACTTACAGCTTTTTCCTAATTTATTTCGAGGATTGTTCACACAGGGATGATCACCCATCAGATGCTCCCTCCATTTATTTTGATTGACAAGAGTAGAGCACAATGGACAACGATCGTAGCCTTCGATAGGTTCTGTAAATAATAATTCTATTATATATTTATTTATATCATCTTGTTCACAATCGAATTGCATACTTGTACACTTGTTATCCTTTCTATGTTCCTCAAAGGAATTTTCATGGATAGCTTGCTTACATGTGTCGCATTTTACGTAATTGCTTCTCATATCACATTCATCTGAAAAATAAAATAAATATTTTTTTTTATAATTGAATGCGACATTAATTAAATAAATAGAATTTGAAAAAAAAAAGAGTACTCACTTAACAAATGTAAGTTCAAATACGAAATTTCCACCACTTGTTTACATGCTTCACATTTCGTTAACATAGGACAACTTCTCCAATAATGAATGTTTAATCCTTCTTCGGAATATCCTTGTCCTTTCGAAAGACAAAATATGCACATTCTAAAAAAAAAAAAAAAAAAAAAAAAAA